ACAGGCTATTTTTCCTGGGGCTACACATATTCCTTCATCATCTATAACATGTCCTAGGATATCGAGTTTATCGGCAAACAGAATTGATTTGTTTCTGCTAGTGTAGAATTTAGCTTCCCTTAGTTTGGTACAAACTAATCCTGTATGGTAGGCATGTTCTATTTCGGTGTTCTAGAAGATGAGAATATCATCAATGTAGACCCAAACAAAATTGTAACCGGTACGGGTACTTGGTTATTGGTTTTGTTTTATGTTTTATTTTAAGTATCGCTTTGATACTTGGTTAGTTTTAAGTATCGTTTGATACTTGGTTTTGTTTGATGTTTTGTTTTAAGTATCACTTTGATACTTGGTTAGTTTTAAGTATCGTTTGATACTTGGTTTTGTTTTATGTTTTGTTTTAAGTATCGCTTTGATACTTGGTTAGTTTTAAGTATCGTTTGATACTTGGTTTTGTTTGATGTTTTGTTTTAAGTATCACTTTGATACTTGGTTAGTTTTAAGTATCGTTTGATACTTGGTTTTGTTTTATGTTTTATTTTAAGTATCGCTTTGATACTTAAGGAGTTTTACCAAAGTGTATGGATTGATACCTTTGATTAGTTTCGTTCATGTTGAGACATGAACAGATTTGTGTATTTAAAGACCGCCTGTTTCTACGATAGAAAGGGCAGACTTCGACAGACAGTATTTCAATATACTTGGTTGAACGGTTACTTCTTTGTTCCTCAGTACACACTCGAAGCCTCCATTAGTTCTCAGCTCTTGCCTTCTCTCTGGAAGAGCAGGCTACCTGCCAACTATCGTATCTATTACCAATAATGTGATTAGCACCTTGCGAACACGTTACAAAAATGGTGGAGGTATTCGCTCAGGAGGTTTTCCATAATTCGCATAAAGGTGGCGGGCGCATTCATATCACCTTGTAAGATAACTCGGCTAATGAAACTTCCGAAGTGTGTTTTGAAACTGTTATAGCGTTCGCTTTCTGGATCTAACGTTGTTTGGAAGTAGGCATCGCTTAGGTCAATCTTACTTCAGAATCTAGCCTGTCCAATTGCATTTAGGATCTGGGTTTGGTTTGGGATAGCGGAGCTGTCCATAACCGTGTTTTCGTTCCGTAGCTTGAGATCAACCAAGTGCCGGATTCTTTTGCCATCTGCTTTGGGTTGAACAAACATAGGAGCGGCACCTGGGGCTTCTGCCCGGTAGATGACTCCTCTTCTTTGTTGTTGGTTGATCCAATCACAAAGTAGGCTTTTGTATGCGTCAGGAATAGAGTAGGTGGGTTGGTTCTTGAGATTGGAGGGGTCTCGGAGGCGGATGTGGTGGTTTACCTCTCTCATAGGCGGTAGTTCTTCGGGTATTTGATCAGGGAAAACATCAGAGTATTCATCCAATAGTTGTTGGGTAGTTGCTTCACAGACTGCGGCTCGGTACTCTCCGCTTGTTGGCTTGCATGAGACTCTGACCTTCTGATCTGGGAAATTGATGGTTGATTCCCCATACCTGATTATAGCTTTGTGGCGGTTCAGGAATGGCATGCCTATTAGGGCATTGTATTTGGCTAAGTTTCCAACCAGCCTTTCCTGGGAGGGTAGGACTTCAGAACCAAGTCGAATGGTCGCACTACAGGTTTTATGGCTTGTGGGTCGTGATCCATCTACTGCCATATTGACTGGTATGGGTTGGTTATGGTCTCGAGTTAGGAGTCCATGGACAGAGACAAAGGCATTACTTATCATATCTTTTCCAATTGCGCCCGTGTCGAATAGGACTCGCGCCTTTTTACCATTGATCAGGATAGTACCTTCCAGGGTGGTGTGTGCTTTGAATGTAGCCGGAGGTCAAACACTGTTGCATTCCATTTCAATATATCCGATATGGATCTCTTCATATTCGCTGGATTGGGTATTATCGCTTTCAACATTTTTGGCCTTATGCCTCTTGCTTAATTGCCTTTCCTTTCCCTTTCTTCGTAGGACAGTTCTTTGCCATGTTTCCTGTTTTTCTACATTCAAAACATTCCCCTTTTCGTCATCTCGATTCTTTCGAGGATATTGTTTTTTTCTTAAAAACCCATGGGGTATCCTCTTCAGAGTTGCTGGAGGCTTTGTGCCATGGCTGGCTAGTCCTGCTAGAGGATGTCTGTGTTTTGTAGGCCTTGATCTCATGGAGAATGGCGTCCTTTCGTTCTGCTCTTGCAATTATTACTGCAATATCATCGCCGCCTTCCTCGAGAGGTTCTACTTCTCGCCGGAGGGTTGGGTGCATAGTGTCTTAGAATCGACGCTTCAGGATATATTTGGAGATACTTCCTCTCTCCATTCAGTCCTTATACATCATCAGGTCCGTAGCCACATCTGTGATTCTCTTGACATGCATTCCGTTAACTTGCTGGAGCTGGTTGAATTTGTTCTATAGGAAGTCGTTGGTTATAGAGGATTGCAATCGTCCTTTCAGGTAATCGAGAACTGTAGTTCCTCTTAATCTTACATTCCCACCGTATTCCTTATAGCATTGGTGGTATGCGTCGGTTGCCTTTCCTTCGCAGAATGATCCAACGATAAGTCCGGTTGTAGGGTCTTCCACATCCTTTCCTTGTAAGAGTAGGAAGTGTGAGAGTTCCGTCGCCTATCGGTCAAAAGCTTCAGGTTTGAGGTCTTTTCCTTCTCCTGTAAACTTTGCTGGGACGTGGAGTTTAAACTTAGGGGGTTCAAATGCTGCGAGTACCTCCTCTTCTTCAGACCTAGCCCGAGACTTTCCTCATCCACCAGGTCCTCCTCCAGAAGGCCCTCCTCCTATGCTAGCCATATCTGATTCGCTACTGGATTCGGGGTCAATTGGAGGTTCAAAGGAAGGCTTCTTTGCTGGAGTAGAAGGGAATTCTCCTGGAGGTTGTGTATCTTCCTTGTATGCAGGATCGCCCGGCTCTTTAGCAGAGCACCGGGGTTGTTTCTTTCTTGTAAGGTCTTGCCGTGGGATTTGCTTCCCACTCCTGGTCGTCAAAGACTCTATCTTGGGTTTAAGATGAAGCCGAATGTGCCGTGATTCTGCCGCTTCTCTCCGCTAGTGTTCTGAGGTGGATATCGATAGCTTGATCAGGCCTAAATCCGGGGACAGGTTCCTAACCACTTACTGAGGTTAAAAAAATGTAATGTGTTCACAAGGTGCTAATCATGCTATCGGTAAAGGATACGATAGTTGGCAGGTGGCCTGCTCTTCCAGAGAGGAGGCGAGAGCTGAGAACTAAAGGAGGCTTCGAGGGTGTACTGAGAAACAAAGAAGTAACCGTTCAACCAAGTATATTGAAATACTGTCTGTCGAAGTCTGCCTTTTCTATCGTAGAAACAGGCGTTCTTTAAATACACAAATCTGTTCATGTCTAGCATGAACGAAACTAATCAAAGGTATCAATCGATACACGTCGGTAAAACTCCTTAAGTATCAAAGCGATACTTAAAACAAAACATAAAACAAAACCAAGTATAAAACGATACTTAAAACAAACCAAGTATCAAAGCGATACTTAAACAAAATAGAAAACAAAACCAAGTATCAAATGATACTTAAAACAAAACATAAAACAAAACCAAGTATCAAACGATACTTAAAACAAACCAAGTATCAAAGTGATACTTAAAACAAAACATAAAACAAAACCAATAACCGAGTACCCGTACCGGTTACACCCTCCCCCAAGTCTTCAGACATCATCTAACAATAGAGAAGAGACCTTAACAATATAATATTGTCTTTATGATTCAATTCTACTTTAATATACTCTTAGTAGTCATAAATAAAACGAGTAACCCTTTGAGCCTTCCTAAACAAATCTCTGTCTATCAAACAAATCTCCATTGGCCTAAACAATCCTGAGTCTATACGAATTGTCTCCGCCTAATAGTCAGGTTTTAACTTATGCAGGCTCAAAATTTAATGAAAAGAAGTCATCTCCATTGTGGGAGAAACTCTACTTCTAGCCTTATTCCTAAATTGCCCATAGTACAGGACCCTAAATCCTATTAGCCACGACCTTTAGTCCCTCAAACTACTCCCCCTTTCATACCAGTACATCTTTATGAATATTTTCTACTCCCCTCTCCTTCCCATCCACCACACTTTCAGAGCACTCCACCTGATTAATTCAGATCACTCCTGCTAGTATTATGGTCCTTACTCGTATCATATACAAAACTTTAGGAATAGACCTCCATACTCAATAAAGTAACCACCCTTTCTTACTAGACTCAGGTACCATCTAGTAGGAAGTGACATGTCCGGCTGAGGTACTTAACCAACAGTACCCCTATTTGGTAGACTCTTGTCTACTTCCATTCCTATTGCGGTAGTCTCTTGATACCAGTATAGGTATAGATTTGACTATCTGTAAAGTACTCCTTAGAGTCTCATTACAGAGGAGGACAGTGTGAGTGAAAAACTCATCCTCCTCCTCACAGTAGGGACAGAGAGAGGAAGAGCTGACCCAAGACTGATCAGGTTGGGTAGCAAAGTAGCTCTTCCCTGTCCTCATCTTCTGTATACGACCCGCGATAAACTTGTCCAAACCCATCAAGGAGTGAGGGTACAATGACAGGAAGTATCGATAAGATGGGAGGGGGGGTACTGAGTGCCCCACTTATTGAAGAGGATGGCCTTGCAGCACGCTTTTAGGAACAGGAAAGAGGGGGAACCTGTGATGGGCAGCAGGAGGGGGGCCGGAAGGAGGGACCCTGGCGAGACTGCCAAGGATGCGCACAACCCTATATGCCACAGAGTCTAAGAGAAGGTGCCTGCGAACTAGGGGGGAGGGCACATGGGTTCTCCAGTTAAGTGGGAGAGAGCCGGGAGAGAAGCCCACGGTGAGAGAGCAGTGATCCCGAGGTGAGCGGAAGGGTGACGTGGTCGGGCAAGTCAGGGGGAAGCGTGCTGTCGCCGGGTTAACTCTGAGGGAAGGTAGACGAGCTTGAGCGCCACGAGGCACTGGGTCGAAAAAGTTATGATACTCAACATCGCTTAGAATTTTTTACCCCCCCCCCCAACTTACGGGCATTCTATCCCATTATCTATGTTTTGGCGGGCATCCTATCGGTTTTCCGAAAAAATACATGCCTAATCTACCGCGCCACACCCCAAGTCCACAACCCTCACGCCGCGTCAAGTCATATTCCCCCTCATCCTCGATAGCTGGTTGATCAATCCGTAGTACCCCTCCCTGCCTCCCGCCCAGCCGGTTCCTTCGACACGCTCATCGCTTTGGGTATCCCTATCCAACGACGCCCTGCTATTCTTTGCCTCTACCCCACTACCACCTTCCTTCAGTCTCTCCGCCTCCCGTCCAGCCTCCTCCTCGCCAATCTTCCCTTCCAGCGCTTCGACAACGGCATTCCTAGCGGGCCCCTCAACCGTGCCCTCAAAAAGTTTACACAGCTCCCGTAATTCCGCCACCTTTTGTCTCGCACCGTCCAGGTCCCCGGTGGATAAATGGTAGAGCACGTCTTCAACGGGATGACTCCCCGAGGCCTTTTTCGCGCCCCGAAGTGCACGGATGGGGGATGGGGTGCGGGGGGCTGGATCAGTGATTGGGGGTACCAAGTTGTCTTGTCCTGCTTCTTCGTCCTCACCGGGGCCCTCGAGTGTCCAATCCATCGCGTGTCCAAAAACCTTGACAACATCCTCCAAACGCGCACGCACGCGTGAAAGCATGCGGAGTTTTTCCAACACCCGTAGTTCCTCCCCCGCCTCCCCCTCTTCCTCTCCCCCAAGGCGTAACTCGCGCACGCACCCATCCAAGTCCTCGTTCAGCGAGGCGGCGAGTGAGACCACATCGCTACGGAGCAGGTCCACCTCGTACCCGAGTCTTGGCGCGAGCCGGAGGATCTCATCGGTTTGCGATTGGAGGGTAGAAATGAGGGTTTGCGTCTGCAGATCTAGAGTTGAGAGCAGAGTTGTTATTTTTGAGGAGAGGGTGGAGAGGGGTTCGGCATTTGCGGGTCTTGGAGTACTTGCTGGATTGAGGTTTGGCGGTGGGAGGAGGGGTGGGAGAGTGTTGTTCAGGTAGGCGCTTGGGGAGAAGGTTGGGGAGAGGAAAGGTTTTAGGAGCGGGTCCGAGAGGATGAGGTTTTGTGGGGGCGCTGTTGAAGCTGATGGTGGCGGGGGGGGGTCTGGCATGTTTTCGGGGGGGGGTTGTTGTATTTCGCTCGTCCGGGAATAAATTTAAAGTATGATACCAGTAGTGAGAGGTCCAGGCTCAACCGACAGTTAGGGTGGGCAGGGTAAGCGAGCGACCAGCTTGTTGCTAGCCATGATATCATGCAGCTCTAAAAGTGTTTCAGCGTTGATGCTAACACGATGCGTCCTGTAGGAGGATGAGGATGATTAATTTGGTTTGTTCCCCCTGTTACCCCATTATAGTTTGCATAGACAAGCTTCATGGGGAAGAGCCTCCTCCTCCACAATTTCACATACGGTAGGGTACCGGTATGTGTGCTCTACGTACTCTGTACTCGAGCACCATACTGTACGAGTAGTCTCGTCAGACCTGACCTAATTTGTGACTCACCACCCGCGTTCCCCCCCTCCCCCTCCCCTTCCGGTCATCAGGCTTATCGTGTGGTATTCGTCGATGATGTCCATAAACGCACCACAATGATCCTGATAAGTGTGACCCCTACCCTCTCGCATACTCACCGCATCACCCATTAAACCCTCTACCGGTACTACTTGATCGTCTTCCATAGCCCTCTCTACTCACTACGTGCGGATCCTCTACACTTTTGCCATTTCCCGGTGATTTTCTTATAAAGTGCCACATCCCCTCCTCGCCTTTCTCGCTTTCCTTCCACTCCTTGACTCCGTGCCATCGTTTACCCGTTCTTTGGACTCCCGTTTGCACAGACTTTATTTGGCATCAGACGCTTGCACTTGGTGGATATAATGGGTCGACGGGAGTTCGTGAGAGACCTTGAAGCGGCGAAAGATTCAGGTTTCGAGGGCTTAGCCAGTAGGTCCCCGGTGCAGTGTATGAGCCCCAGTGTCTCAGAGCGCTGACTTGATGACGATGGCAGATATTAGACGGGGCGAAGATGACGGTAGCTCAAAATTCACATTTACCTCCAAAGATCTCAGCAAGGTTGACATTACCGTTTTCGTCCCAGGTCCGCCCCCCTGCCCCACCCTCGCATTTAAACTTTAGTTGACGGAAGAGTGCAGATCTGGATGAATACCCGAAAGCGCACAAATACCTCATCTATGTTACCAGCGAGGACGTGCCCGAGAATTTTACTTCCTCTCTAGAAAGGGTACAGGACGCCTGCTCCGGACACAACCTTCCTCATTTACTGGGGAGGATCGTGGGAGCGCTGACCCTCAGCCCGGATCCCACGGATGAAAGCTCGGACGATGAGGATGAGGATACGGAACTGGAATCCGACCTGGACTGGGAGGCAGATATACCGGATGGTGCTGTCCGTGATCTCCCTGGTGATTGTAGGAGTTCCGCACCCAAAAACTGGGAAGAGGGTGCCCCGACGAAGACTTTCACTCGAAAGTTGAAACTCCAGTTGAAGGAGGACCTCCGCCACGTTTGCGAAGCAGGATTCAGAGTCGGTGTGTTTGGGGATTTCAAAGGGGAAGTGTTCTACATCACCATTAGCATTCGGATATCAAAGTTGGGAATCTCAGATGAAGCCCTCGCAGCATGGTTACTCGATAAAGATAAATACTTTATTGTCATCATCCACTACACGAATCTTTACAAGACTCTTGAGTGGCTTCTGCAGCCGGAGAATCGAAGTCGGGTCAGGCGGGAGATGCAAATGTGGGCCGGGCTGTCGACGAGTTATAAACCCAGTTTGTACGAATGCATTCAGGTGTTCACCAAGGTTAAAGATCGCGGCTCTGCTGGCCTTGATGGAGTGAAGGGAGGGGAGGTGGGGGGGCTACATTCGTTCTTCATGAGCAACGCGATCACGGAGTTGTTAAACTTGAGACTCGTCCCCCTAATCAAGTATCGACTCCAGGGGGACCTAGGCTGGGAAGGTGCAGAAGCACTATTCAAAGGTAAACTTTACTAACAGCATATCGCTATCTTAATGACTAACACAAGCGTAGATATCGAGGCTTTCCCCACCGCCCCACCCATGGAATACCAAAAGTACCGCGATCTGCAATCAGAGCCCAAAACCGCTCTAAACCCGATCGTAGCGGCGGATGCTCTCTCGAAGCAGCAGTTCCGTGGTATAGGACGCTCGTTCCCACTAATCGCGATGCAGTACGCTATCCGACATCTCGTTCGATGTACAGAATTCTGCCTTGTTTGCCACGATAAGATCCAGAGCGATTTCGAGGCCATGAAGCCGTATGTCTGCGATTCTCCGTTGTGCTTGTATCAGTACATGTCTTTGGGATTCGGCCCTAGTATCGAGAGTGAGATACTCACTCAACCGACGGTTGTGGATTTGTTAGTTAGCTTTTGCTATCGCGCGGCGGAAGCACTGAAGTTACGGACTTTCCCCACCGGGATGAACATTCTCGTTCCTTCGGAGTCAAAGCACCAGGCGAGATACTTCGAACCCGCTAATCGGGTTGTCTTTTCTACCCCCTTTGGGTCTCCTGGCGTGAAGGTTGGGGATTGGATATACTTTTCCCCGTGTAAAGATCGAGCGCCTTGCCACCTGAGAGTTGCAGAGGTCTATTGGCCAGAAGTCCATGTTGAACGACCAATCAACGTGCCACAGGATTCTCGTAATCAGCTACCGAGCTCTCCGCTGGCAGATTCAGCTCCTCCCGCTTTTTATAATTCCACACAGGGGGAGGGATTTGCTGGTTCTGTTTGCGTTCACACCAGAGCATTTGACGAAGTTAATATTCGGATGAAATGTCTGGCCATCACTCGATTGTTGGATCTGTTACCTTCTGTTGGGGAGATGAGAGCATGGCTGAAATCGAATTCTTTGTCCGGACTCAATGCCAGCTTAAGGACTTGGGTTGACAGAATCTTACCTTCGTCTCTCAACATCCTGCGCTGGATCATTGCTAGTAACCGCAGTTGTATCGTCCCTGCAGATCACGAATTGGGCGCAGATGGGCTCCCTGTCGCCATGAGGAAGAATGACTCCAAAGTTTTGGGAGTAAGCGATTGCCTACAATTCAGATTTGCTATGGGTGCCCCGGACAAAGAGCAGAGATTCGTCAATAGCGTGAAGGAAGCGGGGGACCGGCTAAACCTACAATGTATAAATCCCACCTTCCTCTTTTGCTCAAAGTCCCATATCATTAACTAATACAGATCCAACTCTTTTCGCTTTCCATGGATCTCCATTGGCAAATTGGCATTCGATCGTCCGTTCTGGGCTTAATTACGAATCCATGGCCCACGGGAGAGCATTTGGCAACGGCGTGTACCACAGCTTAGACATGGGAGTTTCACTAGGCTATTCCACCAACCGTGTAGCCCCTCCAACCTTGCCCCATCAGGCCCCCACACCTCAGCTGACAGCTAGCCTTCCACGCTATCAGGGGGGCTTCTACGGGTCGGAGACGAACCACGGGTGGCTGGAGAGCATCTTGAATGTCCAGAATGCCGTTTGTTTAAATGAGATTGTCAACGCGCCTAGAGAGTTTGTATCTTCGTCGCCGCACCTGGTTGTTGATAAATTAAATTGGATTCAGACGAGATACCTATTCGTCAAGGTTGCTAACATAGATATTCAAACACCGACATCTCCTCTTAGCGATAACGTGGAGTACCTTCAACAAGACATTCGGTTTTCACCAAGGGGGAGGGCGGGAATTGCGTTGCAGATACCTGCCCTAGGATCTAAGTGTCGAGGTAGGGAGGTTTCTTCCCCTGTGAGCGCTCCATACGTGCGTCCGCCGCCACGCGAGGTGAGGCTTGTGTCAGCTCATATACAGGCTGGAGCACCGAACGCTCGCACAAAAGATCTGCAAACGTCCCTGCCAAACTCTCCGGATAGGAGTGTTCTCGATGAATTCTCAATGCTCGATTCCGCCACTAATATTATAGATGTTGAAAATGACGACGCCAGGAGCGACACCACCGAAACTACCGACGTGATGGCCTACTTCTCGGATGAGGAGGACGAAAACATGGAAAACAAGAACACCTCGCCGCACTGCTCCGACACAGGTGTTATCCTCTTCCAGCCAGACACCCACAACATCTCATCAGTCCTACTCCTCCCACCCCCAACCTATGCAAGCCCCGCCGGGACCCGCCGCCTAACAGCCGACCTACACCACCTCCTCTCCCTGCAGAAGAAATATCCCCTGGAGGAACTAGGCTTCTACATGAACCCATCCTCAGTTTCAAACGTATACCAATGGCACATTGAACTGCACTCATTCCCCCCAGATATTCCACTATCTGCAGACCTAGCCGCTAAAAACCTCTCCTCCGTTCTCTTAGAATTCAGATTCGGCCCTAACTTCCCCATGTCACCACCCTTCGTGCGTGTCGTGCGACCCAGGTTCCTGGCCTTTGCCGAGGGCGGTGGTGGTCACGTTACCGCCGGTGGGGCACTGTGCATGGAGTTATTGACCAATTCAGGATGGTCTGCCGCGAGTAGTATGGAGAGTGTACTCTTGCAGATTCGCATGGCGATTACGTCGGAGGTTAAACCGGCGAGGCTCGTACCCGGCGTTGTGAGGGATTATACGGCGGGCGAGGCGAGGGATGCGTACGTGAGGGCTTGCCGGGCGCATGGGTGGAAGGTCCCACAAGACTTTTTAAAGATGATTTAGTGTATAACCGTTTAATTTGAGGGATCAGGGAGGGATGAGTACCTGCGTTTGCGATATAGATTTTTTCTTTCCCCAATTCTACCTCCGTTCATTTGAGATGATTGGTTTTTTTTTCTTTTTTCACATAGGGAATCTTCTAGACTCCTTTCGCAAGATTGGTATACACGTCAGCTATTTACTTGATGTAGGTTAGCTCTCATGGATAGACCAAGAACTATGGCGGGAGCGTGGGAATGGTATTACGATGCAATACAAAGAACGGATAGTAGTAATATCAAGCAATGGCTACGTATAGTTTGAGTTCGCTAATAAAACCCCCGTGTGCCACACCCATACGACCCCTGTTAACCTCCCCGGCACCAGTGGCTCTCAATATTTCAGAGATCGCAAGTGTTCAAAGCATCGGAGCTAAACCCAGGATCATCCACAATCACTCGCCGATGACCCAACAAAAGCGGCTAATTGGGAATGATGCACTAGTGGCTTGGCCACAAATCGTCCCGCAACGGCAGATGGCTTGAAACTCCAGCAATGCCTCAAAACCACGCAACTAGTAACACGACTTAAAGCAGGGGGGAGCGAGAGGGTGCAGGTGATTGAACAGGACGTGCAGGGCAAAAGTTACAGTCAAATCGCAAATGAAACCCATATCCCTCGGGAAATTTCCTCGGAAAAATATAATGACCAGTATCATACTGGCTGAGTGCCGGCGAACCCCCTCTAAGATAGTAGTTACCATCGAGCAAGCGTAAATACAACTCCTGCTACCACTCTCCGATTCACATCCTCCAACCAGACTGCGGGGGGGGGGGTCACTCGACAGGCTACGCTATTTTTAACGTCGGAATACGAAATTCTTGGAAAGTGCTTGTGCCTAGATAATCAGATTATTCCCCTCGCCCGTTTAGAGGCTCGGATAGGATGGGATAAGGAAATGTCGCATAGTGATAATGGAAGGGAGCGGAGGACAGGTGCTCGTAAAAACCGAGCTCGTCTTTACGGAGCAGGTTTTAATCTAGGGCGAGCTGGAACAGGCTCGCAAGGGAGTGTAATAGGAGGACTGATTACACCTTGTATGCATGATATTAAGGTCCATCTCGCCCTGGCGGTAATTCTTCCACGGCTCTTGGCCGAAGCGTGGGGAGGCCGACTGGCTATACTACAAGCCGACAGAATGGATCCCCAATCATACCAGTTACCGTGGGAAAGGCAGTCTAAGACAGTGGGCCTTGGATACAATTCTTTTGACATGGTGATATATTAGCCGATAGAGTTCCTCACCAGCTCGTGGAGCATCCCGGAAAATCAGCTGGCGATCCTAAACAAGAGGTATTACGCTACAAGTGAAAAGATTGTGTTTGGCATAATCACAGGCTATCACTCGTATTTCTTCTGATTAACAAACCCACTTTAGGGAGTAATAGGTGAAAGCGAACAACCTCGTTTCACCCCGATCCTCAAATCCATCATCCAGATTAAAGAGAAAAGTTTTCCAGTTTATCATCTATCCGACCTTCATAATATGGACGCATCGCAGCGAAAAGTGGTACAATTGCCAGTAATCATGCATCAAGCAGAATAATTCCCAGTATTCTGTACTCGCGAGGGTAGCCTCTGGCCTCCTAGAAAAACATTTAAATTTGAAACTGGAGTGATATTAGAGCTTTAGTCAGCAATCTGAAGGTTGAAGTTTTTTTTTGCATAGAATGATAGCCTATATTCAGATGTACTTGCTAGAAGATTTTCAAATAATTGTAGGAGTAGAATTTATTGTGCGACTTACAGAAAATTACTGAAACGATTAAAGAAGCGAGTGTGCCTATTTTCCCTGAACAATACCCATATAATATGACAATCCTCCAAACGTCAGCAACAATAAGTCAATCCTTCGATTTAACATTAGGTGCTGCTAGAGAATGAGTCCCCTCCAGCCCCCTTCCCGGTCCGCGCTCCTCAAGTCTACAACCCGGTGTTACAATTGCGATGTCGGGGCACTCAGAGCCCCCAGATGCCACTTATGGGTCGGGCATGGCCGTACAAGCTAACAATCCGTAACCACAGGGCCCCATAGTCGCCGCAGTCGGAATGGCGATCCTATCAGGTATACCCAAGGACAGATTGGCTTCCCCACTGAAAACACCGCACATCAAACTACATCAAACCATTAGCCCATACCAGACGCAGTGAGCGGCGAGCCGTTTAAATGTGGCTTACCTGGCACGAGAGATATAAGTGAGCGGTGAATTTTTTTCAACTTTGCCTTTTCTCCCTTTCCTTCTTGATACCTCTCCAGTCCTATTTGGGCCATTTATCATCTGGGCCATCCAGATGCTCAGGATCGAGGAGATGACAATAGCCAAAAATTGCGGCCAAAATACGAATCAGCAAATCCGGAAAGTCAATCCTCACCCTTCATGATATCTGACGCCTGACGCTCGTTCAGATTTTTGTGAAAATTTGTGCCGACAAGTGCGGGGTAATCTAGGAGCTCTAAGAGATAACAGTATCCGCTGGTAATTTTTACCTCGGTAGCAGACCATGTTCTAATCAAGATTTATCTGGAGAAAGTGACAGCTGAATTTTCCTGCCCAGCGGTTTCTTACTCCGTAGGGGCCCTAGAAGCGGGTCCGGGAAGCCAAAGATATTCTAATGAGCTTTGTTTACTCATTCCTTCTTTAGACTAGGGAGAGGATCGCTTATCACCTCTTATGGCCTTTTCTTATAGTACAACCTAACTGTACCCCCTACATAAAATGTTCCTCTAGCGGTTTCCATAAAAAGGTGAAATCGGGTACAAATTATGTGAAGAAAAGTATCATAATTGTTTATTAAATTCTCCTCTCTTTAAAAGAATGCCCAAACTGGCTACTTGTTTTCCCTCCAGAATTGTCGTCATACCTAGTCACTCGCACAACATGTTGGATTTAGCGCGTACACACCGTACAGACTAGCCTCGCCCCGAAACTGGTTCCTTTCACTACTAGAGCACTATAAAGCCGGGGGCGGTGCGGTGCCAGAAGCGACAGGGAGAGAAGTCTGTAACCCCCCCCCCTACTTCAATACCTTCGATCAGCCTTTGAGGACAATAAGCTAGGTAGCAAAGTAAATTTAATACTTGAATGCAAGCCACTCTGTGGCAGGGGGTCACGTGCTTCCCCCCTTACCGCCTCCGGCACCTTAGTGTTTTCCACACTATCATATGATACCACTTTTTGTCGTAGGGTCACACCAGACCTTTTCTCACACCTCCTCTCCGTCCTTCTCTCAAATTTGCAACCATGCTATTCGACTGTAATCATTTGTTATCTCTTGCGGGATTTTTCATGCCCCCACGACCAAGTCGAGGTTGTACACCTAAGGTGGTAATTCCTAAACAATGTTTCCAACCCAGCTTCGAGGGGCTGGTATATTGCCGATCTTGGCTTCCCTTCCTCCTTCACTTCTTTCATTTTTCTTTCTTTTTCTTGGTCCGGAATATAAACCCGCTCTCGAGCATGTATTGGATAGCTAGCTTTCTTTTCTCCCTTTCTCCGGCCACACACAACCGCACAACAAATAACTTTGACCATGCACCGCTTTTTTCCACCATATCACACTCGTGACCCCCTCCACCTAGAAGCCGGGCCTGATGCCCTGAGCGAGGTTCTAATCCATGATAAATATTACATTTAGCACTATTTTGTTACAGACTTGCCGGTGCGACTTATGGCAAACAGGGGGTTGTGGTTTTTTTCCCTTTCCTTTCACAAACACCACCGCAAGTACGCAAATATTACTCCACCGGCGCCGTTACCTTCTTCCCCCTTTTTCGAGGATAGGTTCTTGGATTACCACATTTTGCTTTACTTCACATCGTCGAGCTAACCTCAACGACCCTTGCCTTCACCTCCTGAATCTCAAGGCGGATCCTCGTGTCGAACACCATGTCCCACCCCAAAGCACCACTCGATCAGTCTATCCCTTGTCCAGGGGGACACACGTAACAGACCCCGCCGACATCGATTGCGCCTCGCTCTATGAACACAGTGGGAGAAAATCGTGAAAAATATATCTATAGATCACTTCGGGTGTTCCGGCCTTTGGTAAACCATCCCGAACTTAATCTCATCACAGTCTGTGCAGATCAAGAAGCTCAAAAAGCTGTGCTCCCGGTGCGCTTTTTCCTGCCCTCGGTGAAGTCCCCAACCCTACCGATGCGTTTTATAGAACACCTCATCGCACATTAACCAGGGGCTCAAGACCTGTGCAATCTTTGTCCAAGAACTGACGAGCGGACGGGGCCGTTGGCAACACCGGGGTGGGTAATCTTGGGGGACGAGAGGTGATAGGAGAGGTAGAGTAAATTGATTGCTATGCCATCGGTCTCTCCGTGATTCGTGCCTGGGTTGAGCATTCGTTCCCCCCGTGCCCACGAGCCCTGGGGATACAGTGCTGAGATGAGAGCCCATGGCATTCTCCCAGGGACTCGGCAGAGCCTAGTTCACATCCTTGGCAGCACCTCTAGATATAATGCGCGGGAATAGACCCGGGTGAAATATCACGTCAGCAAGCTGATCCAGAAAGAATACGACAAGTGAAAATTAATAGCAATGAATGCTGTCCACGAGGGGTCCACTCGTACCAGCCTATAGTTAGTTCAGCCCTTCGCATATAATCCTTTAGATTTTTAAATTCTAATGGATCTACCCCTGACGATGTCGTTTGTTTTCACACCCAATCACCATCCCCGCGTGCTATATTGGATAACTCTTGTCCGGGGCAGAGAGGCCGAACTGCACAAAGTACCATTTCTAACGTTACGAGTTGTGCAAAGGGGGGATCTAAAGAGCGGTGAGCTGAAAAACTGTAAAAATGAACGGAAATCCGATCTATCTGCTTGCCAAGTTCTCGGACTGTTGATCAAAATAAGCGAACGAATTACGTGACTATGGAAAGACTCTAAATCTCCCCCGCTTAGAACCAATTCGGTGGTCTTTTCAACGCTCTTGAGAAGCGAGTCC